GGAGGGCAAATCAAGCCTCCCGGATATGCAAATTTCAGTTTCCTGGTTGTTACAGTTCACCAGCTGGTTTGGGCAGGTATTTAATTCTTAGAGGCCACACTTCAACAGCTCTCTAGGATACGGACGGCTCAAGTGCAGATCACCGCTCTTTTAATGAAAAATACTGGAGACAACAGTCTCCAAGAGGGGCGCTCTGTCTACTTATAATATGATGTTCTCTCTAACCTGGTTACGCCTGTGTTTCTCTCAGTCTCTTACCTTCTCTTTCTCTGTGTCCAGAACTTCCATGCCTAGTTTCTGTCGCAGAATCCGGTTCTCGGACAACAGACTGTGTGTCTTCTCGTGTAGAAGCCGGTTCTCTATTTGCAGTTTCTGATTCTACCAGAGAGAGAGGGGGGGTGGTAATGATGAAATTCGACTCTGAATCCAAGAAAAAGAGAACATGCCTCTCGCCCCCGTTAGGGAGCAAGAAACCGTCTTCCAGTCACTGGGAGAATGAAATTCCCATTTCGGAAGGAAGCCGTTCAATCTGAGCCATGACAAATAGCAAAGGAATGGAATGGAATGTTTATCCTCCTTACCTCGGATTCCATCTCCAACACTTGCTCTTCCAGTTCAGACATACGAGCTTTTTTCCTGTCTCGGGCAGTCTGGGCCGCCACTCTGTTCTTTAGCTTCCTTTAAAGAGGGAAAAAAAGGGGTAAAACCATAGCAATAAATACAAAGTACCTTCCCCTCTCTGCAAGAAATAAAACAGTTATTCCTTCAACTTCCGCTAAACTTTGGTTCGAGATTATATCGAAGCAGAAAAAAATGCAGAGAGCGAAGGGTGTAACGCAAGTTGAGTCAGCTGCCACGCAAACAGAAAGGAGTCAAGGCATTGGAGAATTAGACAGTCCACCAAAAGCCCCAGTTACAGTTCAGCTATTGTTTTAGTTGCATTTTAAGATTAAGATATATTCGGTTTATAGAATATCCATTAAAAAAACACGCACTGCACAGGGTTCTGTCCCACTGAGTCAAACAGCCACCCAAGTGTTCCTGTCAAACACAGTCTCTCCCGGTTGAACAGTAAGACCCTACCTCCGCAAAGCCTTCTCCTCTGGGCTAAGATGAGTGAGCCGCTGCCTTTTCCTATGGACGTGGCCGGCCGCCGGCTGAGCCGGGGACGAGTCGTGTTGCGAGCCGCTCCGGGGCGGGTACACCACCGAGATGTGTCGGCTGATCTCCAGGCCGTTCTGCTTCCCACCCCCGGGGATCAGCAGCACCTTAGCGGAGCCGGCGCTGTTCATCGCCACCATCTCCCCGAAACACTCGCCGTTACAATGTATCGGTGCCACGGGAACACTGATACCGCCAGCAGTGGGTTGTCACATGAACCTGCAGAAGGAAGTGAGGTTAGAGTTGATGTGTTCGCTCTTCTCTGACACTCAGTCTGTTCAGAAACTGCTCTCCGGGGTCAATTTCAACCATCGTGTTTAAATACTATTGGCTGAGCAGCCTGTGCATCACTGAACAGAAGCAGTCCTATTGGGTCACATCGGTGAGTTTACTGAGGCAAGCAAAGGCTCAGATGGCGACAGATCTTGTTTATCAAGTTGTTGCAACCTACAATCATTCTGCATATATATATATATATCCCATATATTAGGATCATGTATTTCCGTAAGTATAATACAGGATTACATGCACATGATTTATTTACAAATGTCATGTACTATCATAGTCAATATTAAGGATATACATAACTCTATACACGCACATACGGATATTAACCTTATTGATTATGCATATGAACATCTGTGTTTATAAATAAACGTTTTGGTGTGCACCCACCTGTAATGATAAGAATTGTATCCAGAGTTTTGTCAGTGTTGTTTCTATATACTTATTTCAAGTGCTCGAAGCTTCCTGCTTCATGTCAGACTGATGCAATCTCATGTAAGAAAGCCATTTCCTCCCCCAACTCTCAGGCTGTCAGTTTACTGGAAAGTCACTTGTGTGTCCTTGATAGCTGGGCTTATTGCATCATCTGCTGATTTGCATCATTTCAAGAGTTTTAAGTTGAAGCCTGTTTGTGACCCAACATCAAACTTCGAAAAGACTAAAGGTTTTGAAGTTACAAAACATTAAGGCATGTAGTGGACACTTGAACATTTTCATTGTTACTAATCTTCATGATGGAACATTGCGTGTGAACTGACTAAAAATATTTCATATGGAATCTTTCCTCTTAACTTTACTTATTTCAAAAGCATGCAGTAATCATAGATTCCCTACAGTGTGGAAGCAGGCCAGTCAGCTCATTGAGTCCACACCAACCCTCTGAAGAGCATCCCAATTTATCCCTGTAATTCTGAATTTCCCATAGCTAATTCACCTAGCCTGCTCATCTCTAGACACTACAGGCAGTTTAGTGTAGTCAAGCCACCTAACTTGCACATCTTTGGATTGTGGGAGGAAACCAGAGCATGCAGACCCATGCAAACTCCACACAGTCACCCAAAAGTGAATCGAACCCAGGTCCCGAGTGCTGTAAGGCAATAGTGCTAACCACTGAGCCAAGACGCAGGTTAGAAATGTTCCTCTGAAGATTGGTTGGATTGTTCTTATGCCATGTTGCTATACGCAGGGCAACTAGTTCCATGTGATTCCTCTTCAGCAGCTACCAGTGCTGATGCAATACTCTGTCGTAAACACTGGTGGGCTTTGGGCAGCATGGGGTTACAGGTCTAGACTTTGTACCATTTTTCAGTTGATTGAGGCCTTTTTAATGCATCAATTCAGAAGGACCCAATTGTCACCCAATAAAGTCAGCACATAAACTGATCTTTTAAAGGCTACCCAGATAGAAAGAACACAAAGAGTCCAATTAAATCAGGATGTTTAAAATCAGCTGGAGGAGACCACTTGTAGCACAGCGGTAGTGTCCCTACCCCTGGACTTAGAGATCCTGGGTTCAGGTCCCATCTGCTTCAGAAGTGTGTGATGACATCTCTAAACAGGTTAATTAGGAAAAATAGGTTAATAACATCTTAAAAATCAATGCCTTTAGAGAGAGGTGGGCACTGCAGGGCTTTATTTCCCTCTCCAACTCCATGTTTTAGTTTGGGCCGAAGGGCCTGTTTCCATGCTGTATTACTCTGTGAATCTATTGGACCAAATGTGAGCAATTGGAACTAGCTGAGTGGGCACCACGGTCAGCATGGACCAGTTTGGGCCAAAGAGCCTGTTTCCATGCTGCATTACTCTATGACTCCATGATTTAGTCCCTTCCTGCCTCCCTACAACCATCCCTTGCTTTTAAAGGTTTGCATTGTCCATAAAGGGCTTTGTTTGTAAACACTCAACTGGATACAGGTGCTTTTACTGGTGGCGTTTACTAGGTTAAAAAAGAAAGCAAAAAAAAATCATGGTGATTTTGGTGGTGAGAAGGCACTTGGTTGTGTGTGATAACACTTCTGGGTAAGCCAAAAAAAAGCTGGAGGGCTTTTGTGGCACAGTAGTAGCGCCCCTACCTCTGAACCAGGAGTCCTAGGTTCAAATCCCACCTGCTCCAGAGATGTGTAATAACATCTCTGAACTGGTTGATTAGGAAAATATAAAGTAAACTGGAGGGCTCTGTGGTACTGAAGAAAGCCTAAGCAAACACAGCAATGTAAATGACAATAGTGTTACTACTGGAGTCCAGGAGAGACTTCTCGGAGATTGTCTCGTTCCAAACGTTGTGGAACCTCTCAAACATATGCCCTCTTTCAAAGGTCATTTGGGAACCTGATCAATACCGTAAACAAGAGGTAGGTAGCCAGTATGAATGCCACCTATCCAGCCCCCTTCCCAATGGGCCTTATCTATTCTGGACCCATGAACTTTGATCTAGTTGAGGAGTAAGTGAATTTTGAGCAGGTAGAAAAGTGCTCAGTAATGCATTCTGCCTCCTCATTGTCCTTACCGCATGCCACCATATCCTGGTACCCAAACCCAGCAGCTCAGAATGTGCATCAGCAAGAGTACAGAAAACAGTGCTCTCAGATATATAATCATTTTGGATGTAAGCAACATTGTGGAGGTGAGGGTGAAGCCCACCATGAATGGTATAATTTTGGTTGCCAGGGCTGGGTAAGTGCACACAAAGCGGGAGCTTCACAAAATGTGATGTGCCTGCATTTATCTCCATGCTACCACAAGCCTGTGAATCCAACTGTAACTGAACTCCATTCTCACTGGAAATGGGATTTGCAAACAAGGTGCCCACATTACACATTTAAGAGGAAAATGGCCCCGAAATGATAGAATAATACGACAGAGAAGGAGGCCGTATGTCCCATTGTGACTGTGCCAGCTCTGAAAAAAAAAGAAGTATCCAAGTAATTCAACACCTTCTGCACTTCCCAAGGATTTGCAGCTTGGTTCTCCTTCAAGTATATACCCAATCTCCTTTTGTATGTTACTGTCGAACTTGCATCTACAACCCTGTCAGGCAGTGCATTCCAGATTTTAACACCCTGTTAAATTGGGATGTATCTCTATTGCCAATGAGTCATCTCACACCTCCAAACCCCCACAAAGGCTTGTCAATCCAATCTCCTTTTGAGGGAAGTGGGATGTATTGACACTATATTTTGGAATCCTGTCTGAACACTGTTTGCGTTTATATATAGATGCTCTTTTTTGATGTGTGGTGAACAGATGTATATGTTTCATGATCTTCCATGGCTAAGAAATTAACATCATCTAGGAGCTAATATGACTCATATCAAATAAAATTTCAGATACTAGGTAGAATCTTAACTTGGTCATAGTCACTGTGGGGTTTATTTCCCCATTTATCTCTTGCTAATACCACTTTGGGGAATATGAGTTGCTGACTTTCACTAGTATGTTATGAATATCAAAATACTCGTATATAGATGGTCCCCAGATCTGTTCATAACACAGGAGGGGAGGTGTGGAACAAAAAGGGTTGAGAAACTTTTACACTAGAAAGCATGGATGAGGCCTTGGTTTAACATTTCACTAGCACTTCCACCAGTAGCGCACTTAAATACCAAACCTGGTTGTGAACTCAAGGTGCGGGAATAAGGCTCAAATCTGTCGCATAGAATCCCTACAGTGTGGAAGCAGGCCATTTGGCCCATTGATTCCACACCAACCCTCCAAAGAGCATCCCACCCAGACCCACCCCCCCCTCCTCATTACCCTATCCCTGCAACCCTACATTCCCCATGGCTAATCCACCTCACCTGCACATCTTTGGACTGTGGGAGGAAATTGGAGCATTCACCGGAAGCCAATGCAGATACAGGGAGAATGTGGAGACTCCACAGAGACAGTCATCTGAATTGAACCCAAGTCCCTGGTGCTATGAGGCAGCGGTGTTAACTACTGAGCCACCCACAATGCTGTCTCAGAGATGACAGTGCTACAACTAAAGGGAAAGCTGATACAGCATACTGGGAAAAAACCTTTTATTCGGGAAGTCAGCATTTATCTACAGTTCTGTGGAATACCTTATAAGTCACCATTTTCTGCAAACCCTAGTTTGAGATGTCCTTCCCTATTTGCCTTGGCACACAATGAACCTATTGCTTAAACCTGCCCCACGCTATGGTACATTTGCATTGCAGTTAGGTTAGAAAATTGAAATTCTTTGCAAAACCTGCACTTCAGGCCTCACCACGCCAAGTATCCTTAATTTCATTACAATATTTATATACGTATATATCATAAACACAAGAGTGTAACTCAATCCTTCAGTTTCACAGCCTCTGTACATTCTCGTGCAGTGCCCTTTCCATTGTCACTGAAAAATCGAGAAACCTGTCCCACCTCTAGCAGGTAAAGGTCAGTCATTGGTTTGTCACCTTTTTCAGAAGGAGGGCAACAATTAGAGGACAAGATGACCTTAAGTTGCATTAAAGCATTAAAGTTATAAATATCAATATAAGTTGTTGTCCCCATCTACCTACACAGATGGATGTAAAGAAACTATGAACTATTCGTAAAGGCCCAATCAATATTTCAGTCCCAGCCAAGTTTATTCAAAAAGATTATAAAATTATTAGTACATTGATGTTTGTGGGAAACGACCTCATTTGTGGAAATTTTGGGGTTTTCAGACATATGAATCTTTTACCTAAAAACTCCAAGCTCAGAACCTTAATTTGCAACAATGGGGTCCTCAGTTGTGACTGGCCGAACAAGGTATGAACAACCAATTTTTATGATCAAGTGCAATATATCAAGCACATTTTTTGAAATACTTATTAAACAGATGGTGAAGCCAGCTTGGAAGTTTCTTATTCTTCAACCTTCAGGATTTTTGTACATTGCCAGCACAAGCGATGCCTTTCTTCTTCTGTCTTTGAAATGACATGACGTTGAACTGTGATCAGAAGAAATACACACAGAAGTCATGGTAGAATTGTGCTAAACAGATTCAGAGTTTCAAAGTCTTATTTTGGAAGACTTCTTAGTTCTTATTAGTAAGTTATTCCAGTTACTTTTTCCATTGGCTTAAGATGTGGGCTGTCAGTTGGCACC